TTTAATGAGTATCATGTGTCAAGTTTTGATTATTTGAAAATTACTTACACACACTTCCAAATAAGTAATTTATAAATTTTAAACTTCACATATTTTTTCTATCTCACAAAAATCCAAAAAATCCAATGCATTTGTATCGTATATCTTTCTGCTAATTCCATCCTCAAAGATGCACCTGCAAACATTCACTATAGAGAGCGTGGATTGTGTGTGTAGACTCCATTTCACACACAATGTAACTTCAGAAGCAAAAGACAGTAAATACAAAATGTATCAAATTAAGGTCCAGTGTAAATATTAAAATGTTAACTATAAAATTTAGCAGTCAAAAGACCTATTTTGAGGAAGTACTTGATGACAGGAAGAAACGTCTGAATGAACCAAACTCAACCATCTGATGCAACTAGTTGAGAGGGATATTACATAAGCTGCAATGTAACCAGTTATAACACTGTAAGGTTACTGAAGGTTATTGTCTCAAATAAATTGACCACATGCAGGCCAAATACTGCAGACACAATAAAAAATGCTGATGGTGGCCAGTGGTATCCCTCTGCCTCCTAGCAGATTATCGCATCGTATTTGCAAGAGTTTCAGAAAATTTGACCTCTGACCCTAACTATGAGTTTAAAGAGATTCAAAGTTGTCTGAGAGTTTTAGTAACTACACCTGTGGTATCAATTTGAAGATCCTACATCACTTTGTTCTGAAGTTATCACATTCACAAATCTGGATGAATTGATGTCGTTTATGACGGTAAAAAGTTCTAACAAACCTCTTTTTCCCCTAACCTCTTTGATAACATCTACACAGACACATATTCAGCCCTGAATTATTCTCCACAGCAAGTCAGTTACTATTGTCCACGATTCATGTAATTGTGAGGTTATTTCAGTTTTGTATAAAGTATAACAGGACTGAATAACAGAATATAAGAGATTCTACCTTTGCAGACGCTGGGGTTAATCGAGGTGTATGATATACAGATATCTCAATCTCTGTTATGTCTCTATTTTGACTATATTTTAATCTGTTAAAGTCTGTTGCAAGTTGTTCAACTTCATGAAAGCAAACTATAAATTGAAAAGAGTGCCCCTTTAAGTATTTAGTGCATTTTCTTTAGGTCTTCAGTGTGTTTCAGAGATTCACTACAAATCACAACATGTAAATGTTGGGAGCGGTTTCTACTCACACACGATCTTTGGCTTTCATATCTGCTGGGTTAAAAACAAGAAACAACTTTTTCAAGCAACGTGTGAAACTAAACACTGGCCATGACTCCAGCAGTAGTGAAAGACAAACACAAACCTTTCTCAGCTATGACTTTGCATACGTGATTCGGCCGATCGTTTAAATGTTTGGTCATCAGGTCGCCACGTGATGCATCGACGAGAAGGTCACAGTTGAGACAAACCAACGTGAACCTGAAAACAGAAGAAGAAATTGTATTACTATTTTAACTCAGATTTACTGCCAAGTGAAAATATAACTTGAGAAGTACTCTTACTTTGAGGCCAATGAATTTTTCTTGTGATCCATTTTCAAAAATCTGTTCTTGGTGATGGTGCTGTGAAATCTGATTTTTTTTTTTTTTTTTTTTAAAGAAAGAAAGAAAGTTTTGTCATAAAAAAAGTCAGCAGATGCTAAAAGTCACTCAAATATCAATGGAAATCAGGGTCTTGCTGACCTTATCATATGATTCCCGATAGAAACTTTGCAACTTGTGCGATATTTGCATGCGCCGCAACTGGAAACCATTGGGAAATGAGAGAAAAAGTCGTCCACGTGTGCGTTGCATTCGATGCATGTGTAAATCCCTCCGCTAGCACTGAAAACACAAAATGTAACACTTTAAGATACTGTTAATGATGATTTGAATTTCTCATTAGTATGATGCGTTAATTGTCTGCTGAGAGGTCTGTAGGTTTCTAATTGTACAGTCCGACTTGTTGTACCACTACATCATCTTATGTCTGATCTGCTTAAAAGCCCAAATAATGTGACTGAAGCCAGCAAATCGCTGTTGATTACTGAGCCTAATTAGCCAAATATCACACAAACACATTAATTTTTTTAAAGACAGAAATCCTGCTATACTCAATGTTATTTTTACTCAGCCTAATGAAGAGTGTCCAGAAAATTAATTGGAAATACGTTCATTTATTTTGTGTACTGCGGGGCTTTAATAACCTCCATTAATTTGCTCCCACCCTGCCTTGGATACCCAAGAGGTGGGGCTCCATGTTAGTGGTTGTGGTGCAATTTTAACCACATGCAAAAGACCCATTGTGTCATTAAGATAAATGATCTGCACTTTAGTGAAGACTGCAGTGTAAACATTTAATTTATTTAAAGACTACAGTCATTTTAAAGGGTCTTGATATTTAACTTCTTAATAAATTTGCATCAGCTCAAATTGTATTAAGGGCTCAACGTTTGCGACTTCACAATAGTTTAAAAGAGTCCAAATGTATTTATTTACACCACCTACAGTGGAACGCAGGAACAAGTAATCCAACAAGAGACAACTACAACTAGAGTGATTGATGCAATGATGCCATGAAAATGTCAAAAACTGATTGGTTGGAAAAAGCTGTCTTTAACAAGAAAACGAATAGCAGTCCACAAGCAGAGGAGGAACAACAGCCAACATTAGATGTTGTTTTTTTTTACACATCTGACACCGCCCCCTGGTGACAACACAGAGCTACAACAGGTAGACATGGGTCACATTAAATCCTGAAATAAGAAAGTCTGTGATGGCTTTGTCTGTGAAAAGTTTTATAATAAGGACTGCTGAGATATTGATCAGGCTGTTGGCTGTGCGAAGCAGCATAGCTGAAGCTGAAATGAGCCAAGAGTCCAGAGTGTGAACTAATCCAAGCAAATAAAGAGCGAAATCCAGAGGACCTGAATAGCTCGAGTTTCAGATCTGAAGAAATGGCTGAACCTTCGTGGCAGTTCTAATGTTATCATACCAAGTGAGGTTTTAAAAAAAGAACACTCTGAAATCTAAATTGATCTTCACTGATGTTTACATGCTGCACATCTTTAGAGTCTGCTCCTGAGTGCTGTGTGAAAAAGTTGCCAACCTGAGATTCCTGAGTGCCAGGTTGTGCTTGGACTGAGGGTTTTGCTTCTTGCTCTGAGGCATCTTTGCCTTTCCTGTTTCTGAGGTGGTTGGTTTAGACTTAGATACAGTAACATGAGGTTTTATTGGATGATTCACACTCAGACTTTCTGTACTGACAACAAAACCAGGTTGCTTAGGGGACACCGGCAGTGCAGGTGACTTTCCTGTGAGGGAAGCTCTAATGGTCACCTGCAGTGAGAACACAACACTGGATCAAATTTATATTTCTTTAACATTTAACATAATAGCACAGATCTTATTATGACTGCCTCAGACCTTTGTACCAGGAGGAAGGCCCTCCAGGGCTTTAGGCTTCCTAAAAGTCTTGTGGACATGAGTCCTGTGCTCCACTTTCTCCTTGTAGGTGAGAAAATTCAGTCTACATTTTCCACAGCGATGGATCTTTTTTTTCTGAAATGGGGGGGGCAGAAACACAAAAAAATGTGATTAATAAGTGGTTCTATGGGAGGCTAATAGCTGATATGTTTCATTTGGATTCGCTGAAAGCGTGTAACAAGTACGAAATAGACTAATTTCACTTCTATTAATAGAGTGGCAATTAATTTTTTTTGGTTCTAATTCGACCAAATTTATTGCTTTGTAGGGCAAGAGAAGCAGGTTTTATTGTGGAAGCTTTTATGTATTACACTCGTGTGCTCGGCAGACACCTAAATCAATTCAAACTTGGAGGTAATGGCAGGAACCAAAAACAAGTCCAAGCCTGTAAATGTTTAAAATTTCCTGGAGAAAATCTGAATTCACTAAACTGTATTTTGCACTGCGGCAGTTAAAACTGACATCTGTTTCTGAAAGGCTTTCAAACTGAGCGTGAACTTAGCTTCATACCTGATGTTTCATGTAGTGCTGCATGTATATATGACTAGTTCTAAGAACTTTGAGACAGAAGGGACACAGCAGGTCTTTTGTGTTTTCGTGGACGCTCCTGAAATGTGTCTCCAAATCAGAGAAGAAGGAAGACCTGTAATTGCAAACCTGTGGAAGCAGTAAAACCACAAATTCAGTACTGGCCACCGATTCTCTGCACACATTAAAAGAAACTGTAACCCTAAGACGAGTGTAGACCTGGCACACATAAGGCATTTCCCCAGGTTTGTGGTTTCCCTTCATGTGCTCCAGAAGCACCTGCTCTGATTCAAACGCCAGCTCACATATCTTGCAATTGGCTAAAAGGGAAAAAAATAGAATAAAATCAGATATGGAAAATACATTTCTAACCAAAAAGCCAGAATGAGCTTCATGAATCATCGTGTTATACTTGAGGATTCAATTGGGCTGTGAGCACTCTCGATGTGGCACTGCAGCTGGAACGGGGTCATGTACTGTCGGTAGCAGTGGTGGCAGGTTGTGTGGCTTTCCCAGCTCTCGCTGTTCTGCTTTTCCAGCTCCAAGTGGTGTTTCATATGGTTCATGAACCTGCAGTGAAGAATGGAAACACACAGAGCACGGAAATGTCAACCAACTCGTTAGCATGTGGCAGCCTTTGAACAATTAGCCAGCTTTTAACTGTTATCAAGAACAGACTGCTGACGTTTATTTGAACTGACGATTCAGGCCTCAGTAAAGACCTAGAGACCACTCAGAACAGGTTGCTAAGAAAAATCGGTGTTCCCAACTGGTTCGCAAATAGTTGGTCACAAAGATGTATTCTTAGTGATTGCTTTGGTTGCTAGCATTGCTTGCTCATAAAAGATGCTAGCTTGTCTGCAAACACTAATTATTTGCAGAGTGGAACTGAACCTGTGAAAAGCATGAAGCAGGCTAGAAAGAGCAATCGCCTTCATCGAAAAAGTTTTGAAACCTTTTGGTTTTAGCGTCGAGGCACAACTGTGCTCATAAGGCAAACGGCCGTTTCTGGTTTTCATCGTGTTTTCATCTTTGTTACAGATCAGTGAGTAGTTGCTGAGTGTTTGCAGACATGACTTTTGTGCAAAGCACAGGTGACCGTGTTAATCTGCTCATTACCAAAGAAATCACAATGAGGCTTTCAGTGTAGCATCATATCATTACAACTGATATCCCCTAGCAACAGCCAGCAACCTCAAGCAACCACTCATCATCCAGTTGTTACCAAGTTACTGGAGGTTGCCAACTGGTCTCTAGCCCTGTGTGATTGAAACCTTAGAAAGTATGAAATGGATGCATTTACCCATATTTATTCATTCTAGCCCAGACCACCTGCTGCTGGAATGCAAAATTAATCTTAATAATTGCTTTTCATACTTTGACTACCGGTAATGTTTTCATATAATTTCAACTTTTTCCCCCCCCATTCATGTCTTATTATATTTGTTGCACCTGTAATATTGAATCCTGAATCCTAAGAAACAAAAGGTGGAGTGAGTAAACTAAGAGTAACATTTTTTTTTAATTAATTAAAAACAGTTCATTTCAGGTTATAAACGAAAGGAAGTTTCTATAATTGTTCACAAATATACTTTATATGATGAACAGGTGTTCTGACTTTACAGTTCAGTTTTTGCTCATTATTAACCCTGTTTTAAATGTATTTAAATTGGTTAAATTTAACCCATAACAAAAATATATTTTCAAGATATTAGTGTTGGTACTACTGATTGAAAATTTTGGCAGGCCACTTATATATTTGTTGAATAGTTAAAGATCAGCTTAAACCTGTTGAGATCAGCTACAGTGCATGCTAACTGAACTTACTCCACATCTGTATACTGCTGGTTGTCTAAGCCCTACATTTTCAAAGCTGCTACATTAAAGAATTAATTTATAAGCCAGAAACTATTAGGTGAGCTATTACTTTACATTTAAGTGTATTTTCCACACAGCCCTTCCATTCATTCATCATAAAAATGTTTGCGTTTGGTCAGCACAAACAGCTCAAGGTTGAATAAATAAATACACAAGTGCGGACTTGAACAAATTTGATCACGATTTATCTTTAAAGAGAAAATAGGTGCACTAAAACAGCATCAACTTTAGCTTTGTGGGGGGAAAATTAAATATTCATGGCCTGTGTACATGCACCGGATCCAGGTCCCAAAGGTTTTTAAGATGAATGAAGCGCTCTGCTCACGCTTCACTTTCTAAGCATGTATAATGGCTGCTATAATATCAGCAATTACACAAAGATTTTTGTTTTGCTTAATGATACAGTGCCCCACGGCTGCACTGAGCACCTCCTCAGCTACCTGCCACTGCTGCCCTGACGAGGCATGGCCCATTTTTCAGCCTGCACATTCTGCTACCTCAGCTCCCCTAATAGAAATTTTTATGTGGCTGATCTCTGACCTCCGCTGTGAGAGTGTGGTTGCAGTACACATGTGTTCTCCCATTAAAAGCAGCTTACAGAAGCTTTTTTTGCCCCACTGTTCTGAAGCAAAGTTATTTAATCAAAGGAGCACTTCTTACGCCACCTAAACTAGCAGTCATTTTTCATCTCTACGCCCATGAGGGAAAATGGTCAGATACTGTCATCCATCTGAGACAAAAGCTGCAGTTAGGGCAGAGGCAGATAACCTCCCTCCCCATCCTCTCTTTTGTTTTATTGGCACTAGACACAAAGTCCTTGAAAACTTAGTTTGGTTTTTGAACATTATATGTGTAGACAAAACAAGTCAAACACTACAGCACTGTCTATAAACACCATAAATATTCACTAATACTTTATTCAAATCCATGTTAGAGTTGCAAAAGGCAGATGGTTTTGCCTTTACTCCCCTTCATGAAGGGAATGTTGATTTCAAAATATAATTCCCACAAATTAACAATATCATTGGAGTTTAGATCAGTATCCGTACGCCTTCCTATTACTGTGCAAAACAGAATACTAAAGTTGAATAATTACTACTAGACCAACCTGCCTATTTATTACTGTAATACAATCAGATGTTCCCCAGCAGAAAGCGATTAGCCTGGTTATGAGGTGAGCAGCCACCTGTAAGCCGAGCTGCTCAGACTTCCTTAAAGCAGGAAGCCCAATTACTACTATAAAACAATAACACGACGACCCAATCTAATGGATATTTGGAGCAAATATATGCTGGTTAATTTCTATTTAGTGACAAGAAAAACACACACAAAAACAAACCAATATTTGTAAATATATAGTACATTATATCCTCCTGAGACCCAGCCTATTCATTTTTTCTTCTATTTTGGACATTTGTTTTCTTTCTATATCTTTTGACTTGTTTGAGCTACCCTTACTAGGTGCCGATGTGCTCACAGAGGACATGCTGGCCTTTTCAATGATATCTCATATGTTTGGGTGGCTTCTTTGAGCTCGAAAGAGGCAGGAAATCATAAAATCAATTTCCTCAGTTCTCAGGAGGATATTATGCATATTAATATAGTGGCATATGTACCAATCAAGGAGTGAGGTCTGATTTAGACTTTTGGGGAATTTTTTTTAGAGCTTTTCATGTAACTTGCGCAAGTGGCCGAAGTCATTGCTGACATTTATGGATGTGCACCATTCATTATGCTTTAATTACTGTGTATTTGCGTCCTGTTGTTTTACATGTGGTGCCAGCCAATAGGAACCAATAAAATAATGTAAATAATTCAAACTTACAAAGGCAAAATGCTGAAATCAGCAAGAAGTCTGCACTCTTTGTGGGAAAAATGACAATTCATAAAGAAAAATTATGGCTATCTACTTAAGAATGAAAGCTAATTTTCCTACCTGATATTATTCTTGAGAACTTTTAAGCAGCTCTGGCACTTAAAGGTGGTGTTGGTCTTCTGTGCCTCCTTCTTTTGCACGTCTCCCTCAAAGTTACCGTAATAGAAATCTGCGACCAGCATGATGCGCTTGTTTGAGTTCGTGTTCAGGGCCGCTGGAGCTGTGCTTCCTCCGTTGGCACGGCAGTTCTGACATAAACGGATTAAACATATTAATGTTTCATGGAAACCAACACACGAATGATTGTTTGCTAAAACTGACGGGCTTTTAAAAACATTATTTTATATAATTATTTCATATAATCCCATTTGACAATAACATATTCTTACCAGAGTTTTACTCACCATCATGTGATATTTTAGAGCTTCCTCTGTGAGAATTTCTTCTTGACAATTGGGACACTTTCTCTTTACCATGCCATTTTCCACTCTGATGACTACTTTTTGTGGTGCTACAGAAAAGGAACTGAAGGTTAAACTTAATAAAATACAGCAGGAACTTGGATTAGAATCTTTTTGAGTTTAAAAGAAAAAAATTGTCAATAAAACTTACACAAGTCAGGCTTTGATTTTTTTGCTACGTTGTCCATTTCCTGTGGTGCCAGTCCTCGTTTCAGTAAGCTCTGATCTGTACCGAAATGTAAAACAATTGACAATTGAGATAATTGAGCTGCCTGAGGCTAAAAACACAGTTTTTTTTTTGTCACAGTTCCACATTTTTATCCCTAGACTCTACAATAAACATACACTAGAGGTATACACAGCAAGAGGTTGTGAAGAGGTATATTGTTTTCTTTACTTTTTCATCTTTGTGGTCTTGCTACTTAATTTCACTGTGCAAGCAACTGTATACTGACAATAAAAGTTATATGTTCTAAGTTCTACAAGAGTAGCTTCACATGATTCATAGATCAAAATAATCCAACAATTCCTGCGCTTTCTGAACCAATTCATTTTAACCTCCTCCCCCCTTAAAGTTGACTTTTTTCTATTTCACTGCTCTTCATTAAGGTGTGAGCTAGAGCTTTTGACTAATAAAGACTATTTGCACAAATACAGACCTCATTATCTGAAACTTAATATGAGGAACCACCACTACAAAACATGTACACGTGGCAGAAAAAAAATCAGGAAAAGCAAAATAGCTAACTTTTAGAGCCTTACCTCTGCTATTGGTGTCCTTTGCAGACATAGAAAAGGTCTGAAGAGGTTGTGAGGTGGATCTGTTTGGTTGAAGCTGACTAGGCTGTGTTGAGTATACAGCAGGACTCTGGACATTTGACAGTGTCACAACATTGTTGCTAATTTGTTGCACCTGTGGCCTGTGGACAGCGCCAGGTATGACTGTGGCTGGAGAGACCTGCTGAAAAATCTGCTGCTGACCAGCTGTAAGCAACAGGATACGCACTTGGCATTGCAAGACTCAAACTAAAGAAAATAAACAAACAAAATGTAATGCAATGAAGATTTACTCACAAAAGGATTACTATATTAAACTGAGATTTACCTGGAATGATTGTAATTGATGGTCTTGGGGGATACGCGGCCCCAAAAGAGGCAATAAAGTCACTGCTATTTGTTAACTGTGGAGAAGTGACAATAAAGCCCTGAAAAAACAAACAAAAATCACCCTTATCAGCTTCTGTTCCTTCTGCCTGCTCTTATCATTTAGTTTTTTGGTATTTAGAAACACTTAAATGCAAAAATACCTGATTATTGACAATAACAGGCTGTGGAGTTACTGTTGTCAGACTGGTTGGTACAATACTCTTTGTTTTCCCAGGTATATTCAATGGCAGCACTATTGGTGAGGGGACCACAGCAGGCTGAGGAGGGGGGCACTTTACTTCTTGTTTTGCTGCACTTTTCCTTTGAGGAGTCGGAGGGTTAGAAGGCTTTCCATCCTTCTGGTTATTCGCTGTGAGAACATTAAGGGGGGCAAAAATAGGCAATTCAACAACAACAACAACCAGAAACAAAGTCAAAGCATTGAAAACTTAGAATTTTAGCAGGCAATATGTGCAACTTGCTGGACAACAAGTAAAAACCCTAGAAAAAAAACTTCTGTAATGAGCTGCAATTGACTAAAAATAGCGAGTTACAGAAAATTAAATGTACACTATTTCTCCTCTGGATGCTGGGACAATATAGGGACATTTATACATCCGAACTGTGTTTGGTACAACTTGCAGTTTGTGGGTTTCTCTGCCTACAGTTTATAATGCACTATCCAATCAGTTCCGCAGTATGTGGGTGAATCTGAGCAGAGAGTATAACCCTGTACACAGTTCAACAATTTATCCTGCTACTTCAATCTGCAGTAACATCATCAACAAACCCCATCGACTCAGTTCTACTGGCAGTCATACGTGGCAGCCATAACATTACCACCATCATGTTTGACAGATGATGTGATATGCTTCAGATCACGAGTCAAAGAACTGCATCTATTCGTGACAGCTTTTTTTCCCCATTGTAGGCTTTGTCAATGACACATTTACTTCCTCATAACTTCACTAGATGGTGTACAGGGTGGCGTACTGAGCCAAAAATTTACAGACATTGTCACTGCCTCCTTCCAGAAAACACGACCCAATTATTTAAAAAAACTGAATCTTGTATGCCTGATGGCATAAATGAGTACTATAGAGTAAACTAAAACAATCTAGCAGGACAAACAGCTCTACATGTCAGAGACAATATTTGATCTGGTGCCAGAAATTTCTTTGAAAGGACTTTTATCCTGTCTCCAAATGGTTAAAAGTGGACATTTAGTTATCCTATATTTACAAGTGCATATTAAGAACTGGGCGATACTGTGTGGATGTTCCCGAATATTTAACAAACTAATCTGGATCTGGGCACAGGGAAGCTCTCCAGGTAAATTTCAGCTTTGGTGGAGGAATCCAGTCTGTTTTTGTATTATCATACATTCATTGGTGCCATTAAAGTTTTAACAATAAAATAAGACGTTTTTATATTTCTAAAAATGTGGTGTAACATACAGAGCACTCCAACAAAGATGGGCTCATCGTCATCATCTTCTATCAAGTGAACTTCAGGAACTTGTTTCTGCCACGGCTCCAGCTCCTCCTCTACACACTCCATAAAAAGTTCAGACATTGTGGACCTACAACAGAAAAACATTAAAGTTACTGCTTCAGCAAACAACACACGTATCTCCCATCAGCCACTTTGAGATGAAATAAGAAACACAGATATCACTGATGGTGGCCCACTTAGGTACAGATCCTTGGATGATCTAATTATTGAAAGAAAAAAACAAACAAAAATGGTGTTCCCAAAGTATTTCACGATAAACTGTCGAAACAGGCATTTGATCTTTACCTGTGATTACTTTTTCTGATTATGCCTATTAAAAAAGTAACGATAAGAATTGCTGCAGCAAATGCATGGAAAACGGGTTACTGGGAGAAATTCGATTCAGGTGTGCAATCTGAGCATCCGGTGCCTGAGTCTGCACCAAAAAACTGCAAAATCTGCATTTGGCATACAGCTGGTCAGCACTCGGTTCTACAAGAATAAACAAGCTGAGCATAAAATAAATGACCCCTGATGAGGGCTTTACTAGCTGGAGTGGGGCTGCTTTTAGTAGAACTGATAATCGATTACTCAACATGTTAAGTAGCTAGATTTCTTAAACTTAATAAGAAGAGACTTTGTGTATTCAAACGGATTTCCTTGAATTTAGATTAGAAATTGATTATAAACTGGTGGTATACTCAGATGCTACCATTTGACATGGCATCTTGGGGTTATGCCACAGCGTTTTAAGGGTGATGCCACGACCTATCCCGGGTTTTTGAGACTGTGCCATTACATACCTCGTCCAAACAGCTGAGCTGCCACAGCTGTGTGGTTGTGTGTTTTTGTTTTTTTTAATAATGTCTTTACTGTGGCTTTTTTGAAATACTGGAATGTCACAATGTATAGTGGTTGTCTGGAAATGTTTTTAGGTTGGCCATGGTTTGGAATGAGTCAGAAAAGTCAGAATTCTAACTTTTTTCACCGAATTCAGGAAAAGAAGGAAAAAAAAAAAAAAAGACATGCCCACTCCCCCCCCAGTGGCCCTAATCCTCTTTCGTAAGGACCTGATCAACAAACTAGCTCAATACTTCAGTTTAACAGCAATCAAACAAAAAGCTAAGAAAACACCCAAATCACGAATCAAAGAAAATAACATAGTTCAGACAAATGACTTCATCTGGTTTGGTTTTAAACAATTCTGACTTATCCTCTCCAAATGCCTTGGCAGTGTGCGGCACCACCCCAAAATGCCACGGAATCATCTCCATATGCTACAGCATCACCCCAAACGCCGCAACAGATTGAGGTATTAGTCTAAGCAGCCATGGCATCACCCCTAAATGACATGGTAAGCCTCCACCATGGGTGCCACAGTTAGAGGCTGATGCCACAATTTGATCCAGCCCTCAAATTGCATGGCATTTCATTGCATCTGAGGGTGCCACAATAAGGGGCCGATGCCATAATTTGAACCAGCCACTGGCGCATAAACACAGGTACCTAAATATTATACAGTATGTAATTAGTCATTTGACACCGGACGTGAAGAAAAGCAAACTTTGTAGCTTATCCATCCACCGCCGTTTATTTCTACAATAAATCTCCAGAAGTATTAAAATATGCAGATAAACTGTTAACTTAGTGAGTTAGTTAGTCTGATACAAGACTGGTTAAATTATACAGCTTTTTTTTTTTACATGGAAGCAATACCTGCAGCAAACAGGGGTGAGTCTAAAGGGGGGTATGGGGTGCACGAGACCATACTTATTCCAAGGCTTTCATAACATTTTTCAGACTAAAAGTGAAATAATATAAAATATTTTATTCATTAAATTGCATTAATGTTTAAAAATAAAAGCTTTCTTCACAAGCCAATTAAAATGTAAAAGGGCCATTAAACTCTGAGCCACTGACCTGAGGGTTGTTAGGTCAGACACAGATTTAATTAATAATATGAATTAACATCTGCAACATCATGTCTTTTTTCAGCTGCATTAAAACTTGCCTCCTATTTTAGAAAGCCTTCTAAGAAGACAGAGTAAAGGTAAGACGTGGATTTTTTTTTAATCTTTTTGATATTTATTATTTCTCGTTAATAATACAAAAGTATTTCTTATTCGATTACTTGATTAATTGATGGAATAATCGATATACTACTCCATTCTGAAAATAATCAATAGCTGCAGCCCTAATGGCATCACTTTCACTTCATGGCGCACAATGTTTGGCCAGTTTGTTTAGATTTTTATTTATTTATTTTTGCTTTGAATACATGACTTAAACATGCTTCAGGTTATTTTCAACCTGGAAAAATCTCATTAGTGGGTACCATTACCGTTTTTTTACCCTACAGTACAAACCCCTGATTATTTACAGTGATTATTGGTGAACAGGATTTAAACTGGGTCTCAGTGCTTTGGTTTTTTGTGTTGTGGAGACCCTAAAAGGAGCTTTTATAAACTGAAGGTTTTACAAAGCTGTGTAATTGACGTTAAGGCTGTGACAACACTGCCTGCTGGTGTAGCTGTGCTCAGTTTCTATTGTATAATAGTCATACTAATGCCTCGCGTTTTAATGCATTACTTATTTGGGCCTGAACGCTTTTATAGCGACAAACAACTAACTGAAATTGCATGCACAAATGCACAAAGGTCTTTAATTTTAAGCTAGCTCACCTCAGTGCACATTTCATAAACACGTGAAAACAGGTAGAGTAAATGAAGACATTATTGTGTGCTACATTCAACAACAGAACAGCTAACGTCATGTTAGCCTAGCTCCCTCATAGCGAGCCGTTAATGTCGTTGACGTTAATGTCTCTTTTCACTAGCGGCAGAGCTAATGCTAAGGTCCAGTTTTCTAGTGCTGCTCCTGCTCTTCGGCCGCTGCAGTCTGCCACAATATTAGAGCATTAAATGCAAAATCAGATTTTAGAGCTGCGGCACAGTGTACTGTCAGATCATTGTATCATTATTTTGCAAGAGTAACCGGTCATCGAGCAAAGCCTCATAACATTAGCCAGAATCTGTTAGCATGCACACATTTTCTGGGACAAAGCCTGCACCGGTAGGACGTGTGCTTAAACACAACTCTTTCACTGCCAGCTCGCAGTTTAGGGGAAAAGCTGTGTCTACATACCAGTTTCGGCACAGTCCTTGAGCTGAGGACGGCGGATTTCAGAAAGAGCGGGTGCACATCACACACACCAAGGGATGTATCGCTGCCCAAAGGCGGCGGAAAAGCTCGGCGTGTGCGGACCAATACCCGGTGCTCCTCGCTGGGAACTTCCTTTCAGTGATGTACTGCTTCCTGGTCTCGCCATCAGTTCTCTCCACCTGCAAAGGAATAACCAGCTCAGCAAGACACATTTGCACACATTAAATAAACATTTGTTTAGGTCTGCATTTTTATTCAGTCATTACTTTTAGATATATTTCTAAGTAATCAAGGGATGTGTAGATAATTAAAATAAAACAACATATACTTTGTCTCCCAGTTAGGAAATTCCTATGCAACATGACAAGACAAATATCTTAATGAGGTAAAAACTAAAGTAAAAAATATACACAGTAAATGATGTCAGATGACATTAAAAGACCCTTAAATCTTCGTGCCATGAGGTCAACAAGGTGCAGGAAACATTCCTCAGTGATTGTGGTCCATATTGGCGTGTTATCCTCCTGGAAGCAGCCGTCAAAAAAACCGGTACATGGACATGGTCAGCAACTATACTCAAGCAGGCTGTGGGATTAAGCAATGCTCAGCTGTAGCTAAGTTTCCCAATGTGTGGTAAGAAAATATCCCTCACATGGTTACACCACCATCAACAGCCTGAACCACTGATCAAGGCAATATGGATTCATACTATTTACACCATCTGAATATCGCAGTGGAAATGGAGTCTCAATGGACCAGGCACCATTTTTCTAATCTTCTATTGTGCAGTTTTGGTGAGCCCATGTGAACTGTCTCAGTTAACTGTTTTTACCTGGTAGGAGTGGCACTCGGTGTGGTCTTCTGCTGCCGTGACCCATCTGCTGCAAGGTTTGACATGTTGTGCATTTAAAAATGCTATTCTACATACTTTAGTTGTCAGTTTATTGACTTTGCAGCTCATGGTGCAGCTGCTGTGATGGGAAGGAGAGGAACAGTCACACTCGTATTTTCTCTAATTTATATGTTCAAAAGTTTACATACAAACTTAAATATATACACAAACTCCCTTAAATCTGTTAATAGGTGGTGCTGAAGGTTCTACAATGTCTTTTATCTTGGCAAGGCCGAGACCTATTAACTTCTTGTTAGTGGCATTAGAAATAAGTGCATACAAACTTCTAATGACATCTGTAAGTGTATTTAACTGCAGGTTAATAACAAGCTGTCTTTAAAGCTGTTTTGTAATGGAAAAGTAATTATTCATCAAAATAATTCACAGAAACAAACAAGATTACCCGTTATTACCTGAAGAAACATTTTTTGACAAGCCCTGAATTACCTCTGAGTAATTAATGGTACATAGACTGCACCACACCTGCCATCTGCTCCTGCAGCTCTCACTGCAGTTGTTTCAGATCGTTAGATTAAAAACAGATCTGCTGATAGAATCAAGTGATGCATGATGCACACAGCATAATAAAGCATAAAATAACGCTCTGTTTATCGAGTCAAGTCAAGTCAAGAAAGCTCTTTAATATATTCTTATCCACTGTGATCTCCATCTGCTCAAAACTGCAAATGATAAAATACAGTGATGACACAAAATGACACATGTCGACTCTTTGAGAGATTACAGATCTTGTAGGTGCAGCAGGGAAAGCAAATGATCAATAAAACACCGCATTTTCCAATTTATAGCCAGTTACATCATTCTGAAACAGCTGCGCCGATCAGATCTTAGCCAACAGGCAGAGGCTGTCCAGACAGTTAGGTACTGAATACGGATACTTTGCATGACTCGCAGTTTATAATGTTACTTATTTATCTCACGCTGGGTCTAGATGCAGACCTTCTGTTCATGTACCGTCGGAAATAAGGCCTTTTTAATGCTTTTCCCTTAAAGAAACTTTTTTCTGATTGGCTACCTCTTTCATCAGCAACTGGGAGGGGCTTCCGTGATCCTGACCATATTATGGTTATGCCTTCTGTGACGTTTTACAGAGCCAAGATTTGGGGAAACAACAACAACAACAAGAACAAAAAAACGTCAGGATCTGAGTGTTTGGAACAGACTGAAGTGTTTGGCTCATAAGGATTACTCATACATGTACTGACCTCGTTATCTGAAACTACAGCCGTGTTTAATATTCATATCCACCATTGTGAGAATCCAGAAATGACAGAAATGACAGAAAACACAACTGTTCACATTTACATTTATATTCCTCTTATTTTTTAGCATTTATTTTAATTTAATGTAGACAATATCCACTGGGGATCATCAGTGCTAATCTCTTGTGTGTCACTTTTCAAATCAGGGGATGCAGATTTATCATCATGGCAGCAGATTCTACTCTCAGATCAAGGTCCTCATTTCAGTCTTTACTCTCCCCTCACCACAGCTCAAGGGACTTCTTCAGTTTCTCTCTGTAGCACTGTAAGCTGTCCTCTGATGACTTATACTGTAATTTAGCAGAGTATAAATAAAACTGAATTCTACGTACAATTAAATTTGCTCTGGCTCAGTTAAATCCATCTCCCACCTGTCCAGAATACAGAGCCCAGAGAATGAAAGTGTCTCTGATTATAATGAATAGAGTATGTAGTAAGTAAAACTACTGCAGCAGGGAAATGTCTGTGTTCATCTGTGATTAGTATATTAGTAGGGGCAAGGAAAAGGTTAATGATATAAATAACTGATCCTTGTTGGTCTTCATTACAAACTTTACAAAAATTTTAAAAGTACACTGTGGAAAATCTTACTGCCAAATGTAAGGAGATTGCAAACAACTGAATTCTATTTTCTTACCCCTCCCGCAGAATCCTAGCATCACAGGATGAAAGATGTTTAAAAAACTGTTACGTGTCTGCAGACTGCCTTTTGCTAGCCATTTCCCAAGGTGTCATTTTGGGAATCTCCACCTAATTAGAGGGAGGAGGCTTTGAATGGACCAACCGGGAGTGAGGACACCCTTATAAAAGGAAACTCACCTGTGGCTAGAGGGGCTCTTTTCTCCTTGGTTAGGGTTGCTTGGCACATGTGTTGGGCTGCTCTGGTGCATTTCATTTGTTTGTCTAAAGTCTGGGGGACCCTGTACATTTCCTCATGTATTCTGTTTTCTGTTAAACACACCAGGTAAGAAGGTTGTTGCCACCCATGTAATGTTTGAGCTTATTTTGTAAGCTGAGGACTAAGACTTTTTTTCTTCTTCTATGTTTTCTTGTTGTTTTTCTTTGGCATAACCTGATGGTCCCTTTCTCCCCCACACTGTTGTATGGCTGTAAGACTTTTTTTTTTTTTTTTTGGGAGAAATTACCCATTAAACTTCATATCTGCTACAACACTTGAGCTGACTTGTTAACTTAGCTTTCAAGCGGAAAGCAGGCAACTTCAGCATCGCTCTTAAAACTCTTTTCTCTGCAACCCTTGAATGTGGGAAGGGCTACTGTGCTGGTGTCTACTCTTATTTTGGTGGCGTTGTGTTGTTCCTTCTCGTTTTTACTCCTTTGGTGAAGGGAACCCCTCTCTGATTATTAAACGTACATATAAGTCTTCATATCTTGCCTCTGAAAATGCAGACCCAAAATAAAATTTGCTTCTACATCACAAAGAATCCTCCACCTTTGGTGTACTCCATGTATTTTTCTAACCACATAGGCTATGGGGAAGAGGCAACAAGAGAGAAAGAAGGAAAGGTAGGTATACGGAGGTGAGAGTAGGGTGTTTAAAATTAGCTAGCTGATATGATGGACAGGAGGAAGGCAGATATATTGTTTCTGTAGGAGACCAGGTGGAAGGGAAGCAAGGTGAAGAGCGTTGGGATGTGGACTTGACTGTTCTACCATGCTGTAAGGTAAAGTCACAGTCCTTGGGTTTTCTGTTATAAACTTTGAATTCTTGCTATTATTTCATATTTTGTTTGCTTGTGCTACGACCCGGCTCAAAAGCCGCAACATAAAAACAGAGATGAATAACAGAGTGTGGGTGAGAAGAGGTTTCATCCTAAAATGGAAAACCAGGTTGGCTAAAATGGCTGGTGCCACCAAGGCAACGACTAGTGCACTGCCGGGAAGCTTGCCTCAGGTATGCTTTTATCCACACCTGACTAGGTGTGGCCAATTAGCACCAGCTGAAAACACTGAGACGATTAGAAGCTGCAGAGGGACGTAACACTTGTTATTGTTTTTTCTGTTCGTCACATTTTAAAAAGTTTAAGCTTTAGTTTCAGTTTCTGCTTATTTTCATGATTCTGCCTTAATGTTTTATTTTTTAGAGTCTATCGTTGCTTTCTTAACCTTCTCCCTCCTCCATTTGGATCTGCAAACGACTAACCATTCTCTGGTGTAGAGGCTGGGTGGATGAGTACGTCAAAGGTGTTCTGGAGGTGAAGAGTGTCAGACAGGATCGTACAGAGTTAAAGATTTTAAGAGTTTTATTGTGAGTAACCAAGATGGACAGCATTAGAAATGAGTGTAGCAGAGGGACAGAGGTTTAGACATGTGCAGAGGAGGGATGGTGAAAATGTTGGACGGTGAAGATGGCGCTGCCAGGCAGGAGTAAAAGAGGAAGACCATAGAGAATGTTCATGGATGAAGGAGGACATGTAGAGGGTTGTTGTTGCAGAGGAGAAGGCAAAGGATCGGGTTAGATGGAGGCAGATAATTTACACTGGTGATGACCCGGCAGGAAAGACAAACAAGAACTAGAACTACTAACCTTCCAGAAGCAAATTACTTAGAAAAGGAAAAAGTAGGCCAACTTTTCCATTTCTGAATATTAAGGCAGCTGACTTTAAACTGTTAGACTGAGCCTAATACCATTATTAGAGCATTTCTATTGCATCTGTATATATTATCATTAATTTAGAGTGGAGGCAGTCAGAGTTTCAAGTACAGTTGTTGGGTTTTTTGTTTTTTATAAAGCAATTAAAAACAGTTATTTTCTTTGTTTCAGATGCAGGCATACCTCTTGAACTTCAAGACAAGTTTTATCCTCCATGAAATGCAGGTCCAGATGTTCAGCCTATTTTAAGAAGTGTGTAAAGGTGCCTCCAAAAAACAAGGAATGGAAAGAGTTGTAAGAAGGATGATTCCAGGAAACGTCTCCCAGAGGTGGCATTCATGGGCCTGTGGGTCACT